CCGCTTAGCGCGGTCCACTGAACCAAAAAAAAGATATTTTCATTGAGCCTGCTTAGTGCGCTCAGGCCGCTTAGCGGGACTCACTTTTTGGGCACCTGTATGAGTAGCATTTTTTGTGACATTTTGGGGGACCAAGTCTTATCAAATACACTAAAATCAGATATTTAGGTCTAAAAAATACTTTTTTATCATTTGTAACTCATGATCAAAGATTTATATCTTAAATCTATGATACTTTCTACTTTATATTCATCAAGATTTGTACTTTACTTGTTAATCAAGCTACCATGGTGATGGGTAGATAAATCTCTCTTTGTGTCAAGATTAGAGGTAGATAATATTCATCTTTGTATGTATCTAGCTTGATTTTTTGTATGTGAACATGCTGATGATAAATATATGGTGAAAACTCTTGTTTTATTTTATGGTTTATATTTGAGTTGATCATTATTGAGAAGTATGTTCATCTCTCGACCTAGGTTTTCACTTATCAATAAACAATTTCTAGACATAGTTTTGTGAGTTGATATTCACTAATATTGAGCTTTTAAAGTTATCAAATTGATAGTTAGATAGAGAGATCATCTAAGGATCAATTTGATAAAACTCACAATTTATTTTAGAGATGAAACATGTTTAGAGGATATGTGATTATGTTTATTGTTAATGAGTTCACATGCTTTATTGAGAAAATACGTTCGAAAGAGATTATTGAGCCCTAATTTTGACACACTTTTACCAAACATTTAAAACTGAAACTTTATTTTACCGATACTTGATACTTTGCATGAAATCAACATTTTCCGTTACTAAAACCAAAACCAAGCCCTTTTATGAAACTTAAGCTTAAAACGATTATAAATGTAGAACGACGATAATATCACACCAATCTCTGTGGAAAACGATAATTTAAATACTTTTCCTGTAAAGTGTTTTCAACAATTGATCCATATACACCAGAGTATATGACTTAGAGGATAGCCTTCGACTTGCTTCGTTCATCCTTGTTGAAGTTATTCTTGTGTTGTTTTGCCTGCACACATTCCTCACACACCTTGCTTGGAATGTCAATTTCTGGCAACCCTGAAACCATATTTCTTCTCTTCAAATCTCTGATGTCTCTGAAGTTGAGATGGCCTAGTCGATAGTGCCATATCCATTCATCTCTACTAGTTGCAGTCGAAAGGCACTTGTGCTCCATCACATTAAGTTCAATCTTGAAGGTTCTATTTTGAGACATGGGAGCCTTCAAGATTAATCTTCCATTTGCATCGATGACTCTCATCATCTTGTCTTTGATCAACACTTTGTAAGTCTTTTTGACCAACTGCCCTATACTGAGCAAATTGCTCTTCATGCGTGGTATGTATAACACATTAGAAATTATTGATCTCTTGCCATCTTTCCTCATAATCATAATATCACCAATACCTTCAGCTGCTAGGGTATTGTCATTTGCAAATTTCACCGTGTTCTTCATCGAGGATTTTATGTTGATAAACTAATCTTTCCTTCCTGACATGTGTGATGAACATCCTAAATCTAAGTACCATTGGTCCTTGAATCTATCTTCATTTCTTGTTGTGACCATCAACATCATCTCTTCTTCTTCATGTTTTGCAAACTTTACATCACTTTCTTGATTCTTTTGCTTTTCTGGACGATCACTCGAATAGTGACCATATTTTTTACCATTGTAACACTGAATGTGACTCTTGTCAGGTTTTCGACCACTACCTCTTCTTTTATTCACAACACCACCTCTTTGGTTGCTTTGGTATGGTTTTCTCTGATTCAACACGTTTTCTTCGTGCTGATTTCCTCTATCAGTCAAATTGTTGTATCCACCTCTACCTTTATTGCCGAACCACTTTCCTTTTCCTTTCTTGTCTTTTGTTGATTGAGCATGCAGAGCCACATCACTCTTCGACTTGCCTGTAACTCTTTCAACCATTTTTTCCGTGAGATTCAAGCATCCCTTGAAGCTCTTCCTTCGACAAAGATGATATATCCTTCGTCTGTTCTATGGCAACTACCAAATGGTTGAACTTCGGAGCCAAGGATCTCAAGATCTTTAAAACTACTGCTCTTGTTGTTAACGTCTCTCCACAAGTCTTGATTTGATTCACTAGTTTCATAACCTAGTGAAGAAATCAAATATGATTTTGATATCTTCCATATGAAGAAATTCATACGTTCTTTTGTGAGTTTGTAACTTCACCTCTTTCACCTTCTCAACACCTCCAAACAATTTCTTCAGAATCTCCCAAGCTTCTTTTGCAGATTCAACATCACTAACCTTTTTGAAATTGTCTGGGCTGACACATTGGTGAATTATAAAGAGAGCTTTATAATTCTTCTTTTTCGATTCTTTGTATTCCACTTCTTCTTCTCCTAAAGCGCCTTCATGAAGTGGTTCTAATCCATGTTTCACAAGATCTCAAAGACCTTGAAAACAAAATATAACCTTCATCTGTTTACACCAAATCTCATAGTTATCACCTTTCAGAATTGAGAGATTTGCTAGAAAATTTCCGTTAGCGTAATTCATCGCCATCGTGAATTTCTTCTTCTTCTTCTTCCTCGATCTTTCTTGATCGTTCTTCCCTTGAATCACTCAACCAGAGCTTTTGATACCAGATGCTGGAGATTCACCAAAATCTATGATGAATTTCTACCAATCTTGATGAATAAGATCGATATCACCACACAATGACAATGAATTATATGAAAAGAAAAGAAATAAGACAATTATTTTCTGCAGAGTTTCTCTCTGCCCACAAACCGTGGAAAACTTTATTATTCACTTGCAACTGCAAATTCTATGAATACCATGAATTGATTTGATTACAAAAATATGGGTTACTCCCTCTATTTATAGATTTAGGTTAGCTTGCTCTCTAAGCCAAAATCCCAAAACTATAAAAATCCAAAATACCTATTTTGAAACTAAATCAAATCTATTCTATTTTAGATCTAAATCAAATCTATCTAAATCTAAAATCAAATCTGTATACAGTGTATTCGACACACCATGTTTCGACACTTCCTTGTCTCTGTCGAGCAAACTACTTCGACACAAGAAATTACTTTCAACAAAATTCAGCTACTTACAAACAAAACAAATTTGTTAACAATATGCATTTAGTGAAATAATTTGGTGAACCCTTGATGATCATACCAGAACCAGGTTTTCTGTCTACACCAAATCAAGTTGCAAGTTATATCTTTTCTCTACGTAATTCTAGTCACAAAACCAAATAATGATACATTCAATTACTAGAACCAGTTTAAATGGAAAAATGATGAAAAACATGTAAAAGACATATAAACCAGACTCAATAAACATAACACACATAATATAGCAGAATCTCATCGTAGAAAAGAGAAAACCTAACAAAAAGCCCCAACCTTTGAGGATGAACATGATTGAAACCTTTATCGATTGTTCACAGCCGATCTACCATCCCCATTAATGCTAGATCTGTCGCATTTTGTTCTAGATCCCACTCTTGTAGTCAAAATCAAAAGGAAATATGAAATGGAGAGAAATTGAAAGAAAATATGAAGGTAGATTTGTCAGATTTGGTATATGAGAAATTGAAATAAAGAGAATGGAAGTGAGAGTGATAAAGTGATAAGAGGTGACTTTCGAAACCATGCTCGCAACAACTACATTTAGAACAACTTTCAAGTCGCACAACTGTCGCAATGTTCAAACAATTAACAACAGTTCAAAACAATAAAGCTTAGAACCCACAACAATGTTTTTACTTTAGGGTTTATTTTTTCAATTTTCATTGTCATGGCAAGGCAAAGAGAGTGTTTTTACTTTAGATTTTTTTTGTTTCTGTTTTCATTCACAGTCACAGTGAGGCAGAAAGAGACAACAATGAATTTGGGAGATTATAGAAGAAGGAAAGAGAAAGAAGTGATGTAAGTGAAAAAAAGAAGGGTGGAAGGAAAAGAGATGGTTTAAGTAATGTATTTATGTTTTCGGTGGTGCACGTGGTAGAATAGCAAATGAGTAGGATTTGCATTCACACGAATATCGGTATAGTGCTAACACTTTTGTTTTTAAAATTTAATAAAAATATTAATAAGAAAAAAATCATTTTATTAACGTAGTTTATTATTTAAATTTTTTTTTAAAAATAAAAACAAAATTATTTTATCAAAATAACTTTATCGAAATTATTCCTATATATAATTTTTTTTTGAAATATTTATAAAAAAAATTTAAATTAATACTAATAAATTTGTTTTCGTTATTATTCAATATTTAAATTAATAACTTAATATTAATATCATATGTGCGACCATATCAATATTTGTGTATTTGTACGATTATTGACGAGGTATGCACATTTTTATTATCAAAATATAATAAAATATAAATAAATAAAAAACAAAAATATTTTAACAAAATAATTAATTATTTTTAAAAAAAAAAAGACATATTTTTTGGTGCATATTATCTTTAATTTAACAATAGTTATTTTAATGAAAAAAAGTAGAAAAATGAAAACGTGAACAAATCAATGAAAAGAAGTAGATTTCATGACCGACGTAACAAATCAATTTTATCATTTATAAGATACAATCTCTTTCTTCTTTTCCACATAGTAGGAGAAAAGAGATATGTCTCCCATCATATTATATAAATAATAATAAAAAAAATAATGGAATGAGATGAAATATATTTGATGCTGCATTCATTTTTTTTTAATTAATTCAAATCATTGAACATAAAGTTATATTATTCCATTCTACAATCATTTGTAAATGAAAAGCAAATATACACTGCTGTCAATTGTCAATGTTTTATGGGGGTAGGGTGGTAACGAACAGTTGATATATGTATTTTGGTGGCTTAAGAATTTGAAGCCTTTGTCATTGCACACGCAGACCTTAAACATGCCCACTGCTCTCCGCCGATAAACTCCGCTCAAACCCAAATGGGTTAATAAGAGTGTATTAATAGAACGTCTTCGTGTCCGTTAAACTGATCCTCGTGTCGGTAAAGTGAGGAGGGTGATCTCCGTCACCGATGTAACAATAGAGGGGCGGATTCTGTCGGACATGAGAGGTCTGAAAGGCGACTCTGACATACCACAGCTAAGACATGAGCGACAAAGAGGACAGTTAGGGTGTGAACGAAGCCAGGTATCAATACAATGGATATGGAACGTATGAGAACAAAGAGGAAGAGTACGAACGCGATCCTCTTGTTTAAATTCAACCAAGCAAACAGCACAATCACGTGGAGATTCTTTTTGCTCATTGTTAGTACAGTAGATTAACGATGGAATTGTGTTTATAACTGACTCGCCTAAACCATGTGTGTGGCGGCGGAACGCCGCTGTTGTTGGTTGCGCTAAATCACTGACATCGCCGGAGGAAGAGGGAAGGAAGACCGTTCGGTATTTGAGCCATTGGTAACAGATTATTAAGAAGAAGATGGTGGCAACAAGAAGAACTAGTATTGCTATGAGTAGTGGAATGAAGTCTTGAAAGAGTGACAATGCAGAAGATGATAGAGCATCCATATGACTGAATCAAAATCTGAGAGAGAGAGAGAGAGAGGAGAAAATGGTTTTCTTTTTTATAAAAAATATTTTGACATTTATGTATTTATACAAATGGTTTATTCAACAAATAATGTAAATGAATCTCAACCGTCCAAAAATACTCAATAAATAAGAAAAAAATCGATCTCCATGGATTATATGTCACATTTTTTAAGAAAATTTTTCTTACCAGAAATTAATTACTGTATATGGGTGGCTGAGTTGGAGGATAAGCATGTTAACGGGTTTGTTTGTTCTTTTAGGTTTTGGTTTTAATAATTTAATAAACACATACCAAAGTTGTATAAAAAATAAATACTTACCAAAATTAAATAGGATGGAATCTGAACCGTCCAAAAATGCTCAATAATATTTTTATTACTAGATTCAATATTGAAAATTCTAATTAGTTTTTTTTTTTTTGGAAAAGAATGTTACGAAATATTAAAAAAACAATTGGTATGATCGAATATTCGAATTACCTATCAATTAGAGTAAAATATATAATCTGAAATTTTGATTAAGCTTTCAACGTTAAAATTAGTGGAACAATAAAACATGCATATAAAAACTGTCCTAAAATAAATGTTCTATTTCAATACAATATTAATTTTTTAATTATACCATCAAACTGAGTACTAATTTTATCACTCTAAATTCAATATATTCTATGAGAGTTTATGGAAAAAAATAATAAATTAATATGTGAAAAATGATATTTTAGTGAAAGTCTAATTCTCTCTAATGTCTCTAAAGATCACGATACTATTATTTTCGTCAAGTTAACTTTTTTGACTTTTTCATCAATATGATTTCTCCTAAATCCTTAGCAAAAAAATTAATTTTTTTTAGTTTTCGAATATACATCGTCAGACACGTTTTTGTACAAAATAAACATAAATAATTGAACAGAAATTTTATGGAATATATTCAAAAATGCATCTTCGAAAATACTCTATAATATATAAAATACAGACGTTTAAATAGTTAAAAGTACACTCAGAAATATTTTTGGAAATGTATATCTGAATTAATTTTTAGTAAAAATAGGGTGATTGCGTTAAAATGAGGTGGTTGCGTTTAAATATCTAAAAGTGCATTCAAGAATTCATTCGAAAATGCATCTTCGAATTAATTTTTTTTTGGCAAAAATAAGAGGTTTTTTATTTATTTACGAAGGATGTTGTGATATAAGGTGCGTCTCCAAAAAAACCTAAGGGCAATTTCGAGTTTTCAAAAGTGTGAGACACACTATAAGGGTGGAAAAAGAAATTTCCAACTTTTTAGCACTTGTCAAATTTAATAGTTTATTTTCACCACGATTCTACAGTTTCGGAAGTAAGGCCTCGACCCTTTTATGACGAAGTTGAAGAGTGAGGGTGTCAAAAAATTTCAAACCCGCCTAAGTGACAAAGTTTGACGGAAAGAGTAACTCTCAAGAGCATTCCGCATTCGTCAATACTCAAATGACTATTATCGGTTTTGGTGACTCCTTGAAGTGAAAACTACTCGCTATAACTTTCAAGCATTGAGGTGGTACATGAACTTACCATGTTTGTCAATTACTAGTTATCAAGATATGGTGAAGAAATCAATCCACCATCATAGAAAGGTATCAACCACAATCATGTTCAGCGCCAGCCAAAGATCCCCTGAGTTGTTGAATGAGTATCTAACCCCTTTTAACAAGGCGGCAATCAAATTTATACACCCAAACCAAGATATGTGTGTAGGGGCATTCCAAAATGATTTGAGGGCCGAGCACTTCAACAAGCCCCTCGCCCAGAAGCTAGCCGCTTCCACGACATGAATCTTGGCACGAGCTAATTTCCATATCAAGGACAAGGAGAGTAATACTGGGAAAATGATAGAGACATCAAGGAACAAACATATGACAATTTTGACACATCACGATAACAATGCATAAGTTAATATACCTCACTTATAAGAGACCGTGCGACTTTCAAGCACAGTGGAATACCCACTTAGAACTTCATGCCACTGAACACTCGTTGGGAACATATATGGTGTTAATTCTTCCACACTTATAATATTCCTCCGCAATTAACTCCCAAGTCTAACATTATGGGACCTGAACCCAATATATGGTGCAAGTATCATAAGCTGAAGGTTCATCACAATGATGATTGCTAAAAAGGAGATTGAGTGACTCATTTAAGAGGGTCATCTCTAAAGAAGTACGTTTGAGAAAGTACCCATCAATCAGGAGACATATCCAAACCTTAAGGATGGGATCCATTGGGAGCCCCAAATCTAGAAAAGGAAAAAAGATAGAGAGAAGAGATAAGGGAAAATGAGTCTTCCATACACTCAGTACCATAGCTGGAGGGTTTGTTGAAGGTGGAGAGTCCAAATCCTCATACAGAAGGTTCTGGAGGCTGAAGGTTCGCCTACCATCCCTAATTTAGGAAGGTAGTCAGAGCCTAGAATTTTTTCTCTAATAAAGACGTCATAGGAGTCCATCCTCACGATAATGATATCACGGTGATAATGATACTTTGTGATAAAATGGGAGATCAAGTGAGTACTGATCGACTAGGGAAGTTTTGCAGATATCATCTATTGGGACACATTTGAAAGGCTTAAATTAGACCTAGATGACATCCAAACATTCCAAGGCTCGTTAGTCATTTTCTCTAGCGAGGAGGTGCAATTGATGTTGGGTGAGAATATGGATAATAAACGGTCTAGTGGGGTGAATAGACCTCTCCGGTTAAAAATTCATTTGAAAATAGTTTTATCGGAGTTTCTAAAATATAAGTGATTTTGCATGGCGGAGGCAAATTATGCGTAAAAGAGATTATACTTATCGATCGACGTTAATACGAGGATACTTTAAGCAGCTCATAGAGGAAGATTTGTATTAGGCCATGGGAGCTCCACACCGCCAAGCATGACATATCTACAACGAGAACTAAATAAGAGGAGACAATCGTCCTAATTGAGAAGACCATGGATTTGTCAAGTAATAACATAGAATAAAACTCCGAGATCCTGGAGCTCAATAATATGAGAGATTAGTTTATCTAGTTTTTTTATGCTTTTTGTTGAATAAGCCAAGGTCGTTAATACCACCACCATTTATACTAATTTTTAAGGATGTGGTTTGATTTAAATAATTAGGTAGGACTCTTTCCCCATGCAAGGGAATAAGTTTTTAATGAGGCATCTTATCTTCTTAACTGCTTTGATATTTACAGTTTATGTATGAGATTTTTTCTGGACCTTCATTGAAAGATCATTGTCGCCTTATTAAGAAATATTTTTTGGATCTTCATTGAAGGATCATTGTACCCTTATTAGGAAACATTTGTTGGATCATCACTAAATGATCCTTGTTGCCTAATTATGAAATATATAGGTTGGACCTTCACGGAAAGATCCTCTAGATCCTAATAGGTTGCATAAAGTGCACACCCTAAAGACAACAAAAAACTCTAAAGAAAACATGAAAGAGTACATTGATAATAAAGGCCCGAAGGGCATGATTACAAAAGGCCTCTGGGGGTATGATTACAAAGACGCCGAGGGGCGCGATTACAAAGAAAAACTCGCAATGGTGTGATTAAAAAAACCCAACAAATGGAAAAGCTATAATGGGGTGAACAATAAAAGGAATCAACACTCTAAGATTGTAGATGTCTAGGAGGTGAATATAGACGAATACATCCTAGTATAAGATCGTCTCCCCTGTGGCTTGTAGAAGAACCATTCTTCCTTCATTCTCACATATCTGATTATGAAACTAGGGGGAAATTTTCTCTTTCTTTCTAGTCCGACCCAAGGGGTCTTTTATAAATACTTCTCAATCCCACAATTGAGGAAGGCAATCACTAACTCTACAAAAAACACACAAAGTCTCTCACAATCCCTATATTAGCAGACTTTCTCAACTATTGTACTTTCAGCGAGTACGAATCTAATAATAATTCTAAGTCTTTTAAAACTATCTACCTTGCTGAAAAATAAAAATGATTGCACTATCTTTAAATGCAGTTATTTTGGTAGAAATGGTCACATTATTTCATATTGTTTTAACAAAATTCTTGATTTAAAGTGAACTCCTAGATCATATTCTAATAACATGAGCTACCTAAAGGACATTAAAAGATATGGATACCGAAGGTTAAAAACTAGAATCATTTTTCCAGAATGCATTGCAACCTCAAGCTCTAAATGAAAAAACAGAAAAGGATGCCCAAAGTAGTTAAAAATTCCATCTAAAATAAATAAATAGAGAAAAAAAATTAAAAATGCTTCTCTTGTCAAAAGATTCAAAGAGATTCTAGAAAAGAGAAGGAAAATTGATTCTCAAATGAGCATAGGGAAATAAGTCCTCTAATTATTTGCATCACATTAAAAAGGTAAGTTGTAACACCCCAAAATCTTGAATTTGTGTTCTTGTGACTATTATGAATATTATGTCATATTATATTGATATGTTGTTGGGTTGTTAGTGAGATGTACGTGCTTACTTAGAATTATTTAGATTAAATAATTATAGTTAGTTGATTTATGAGTAAATTAGCAAATTAGAATATTAGTGTGGGTGAAAATGATTTAGAAATTAATAAAATAATAGTTTTATGAGGTTTATTATATATTTAAAATAATAAAATAGAATATGGGGATGAGTAGAGATACTAATGGTGTAATAGTAAGTGTATAGGAGTAAGTAAGGGTATAAAGGGAAGATCATAAAAAGGGTCTAAAGTTAACAAATAAAATAAGGAATATAGTGTCAATCCATGTCATTCGTGAAAATTGGAGAACAAAGTAAAAAGTCTTGGGCACAAAGAAACCAAGGAGACAATCATCCATTAGAGCTTGAATAGGTAGATTGCTAGGAGTAACAAGGTAAGGGTGGGTTATTGTATTTCAAAGATGATTGGTATGGGGTAGAGTAGAGGAATGGACTTGAATGTGTTAGGGTTTGTCCTTACATTGATGCCTTGATG